CTGGGCTGGGATGTTTTCTCAATATTCTCAATATTCAATTGCTCTTGTATATAAAGCTCTTTCCTTTACACATATGAGTGTCTGTGAATTTGTTTCTCTAGTCTACCCAGGCTAACACACAGGGGAAGACACTAGAAGGCTTGTAAGGGTTAAAGGCAGCAAAGGCAAATACTGTTGTATCCAGAATCCTGGCACAGTGATCTGACAGAGGGCATTGTATATGAGTATTTACCTTGCTGCAAATATATCAATGAATGTGGTGGGCCACACAGGAGCAAAGTTATGGAAACTTCTTAGACATAACACCTGGAGGGAATGAGTGGCTGGGTCTGCAGGATCAAGACTATAGTCCCTCAAGCCTCATTGTCAATTGGATCAACCTGGTCCACGAAGACAATGTTCTACATCCAACTTTGGTGACTAGCTACTGGGGTCTTAAAAGTGTGTGAGCAGCCATCTAAGGGGCAGCTATTAGTCTCTCCTGTTCCAAAAGAAAGAAGGATGATGGAAATTGAAAAACATATGGGAAAAAATCCATTGGGTTAATGGAACATGCAAACAACGGTCTTCACAAGTGAACACCAGAAGAACTAGATGGTAAAAAAGAAGAAGCAGAAGCAGATGGTGACCAGATACAACTACCAACTACTCTGAAAAGGATCACGTATGAAGGTCCTGGACAGAGTGGGGAAAAATGTGGAACAAAGTTAAAATCTTAAAAGTGACTAGGTTTGTTGGTCAGGGAGAGACTGGTGGGATGCCCAGTCAGCAAACTGGGCAGAATTCAAGCTGCCCAGTCATAAAAGGACTCGTCTCACTAACGTATAGCAGCAATGCATCAAAAGCAGCTCATACGGCACCGTGGAAAGGGATATGGTGCTTCCTCCAAAAGCTAGAATGGAAATACCACATGACCCAGCAATCTCTCTGCCTGGTGTACCTCCTAGAGAAATGCAAAGAGATGCACACCACAGGACTCTAGACAACAGCACAAAGATGGAAACAGCCGAAGTGCCCATCGCTGGGTCATGCCTCAGATCTAGAAGTGAACTCACCCCTGTTTTAGTATAACCAACCATTTAAGGCCAAATGGGTAGCATTGATTCAAGGCAAAGTTCAGAGAGTTAGGAAAGAAAGAGGATAGAGATAGGAAAGACAGGGGAAAGTAGGATAAGGGGTGGCACATTGAAGGATTGCAATGGATAAAACAAAAGTACGTATGAACTGAAGAATGTAAAACTGATAATCTGCTCTCTAAACCTTCACCTAACTCACAATACAAAGTTTAAAAAAACCAAAACCTTCAATAAAATAAAAATGGAGAAAGCCAAAGGTAGGGGGAGTTAGGTAACCTAGACTAGGCCAACCATTACAACACCCTACTCCTGGCTATGTGACAGTTTCCAGGAGTAAGCAGAGCCCGGTAAGAGGATTTCAAACTGTCTCTGCTAGCGAGAAGCTGGAGACCACATGCTCACTCTATGGAGCCAGCTCTTAACTCCCGAGAAAGGAAGTAGAGCCCACGGTGTCTGAGTTCTGTGTTTGTAGCTCCTGCAGGACCTTCCAATATCAAAGGCCCCACCTCAACACCTTGCCTTTTGGGGTTGAAGATAGTGGTTGGCTTTCGGTCATTTGTCACCAGAAGACCTTTTATTGCATAGGAGCACTGAGCTTGAAGAAAGCGTGTTCCAGATGTGTGTGTGTGTGTGTGTGTGTGTTGGGGGTGGGGGCATTGCAGAGAAAAGCTGATTTTGCCTCCGATTTGTAAACTATAAACTTGCACACGGAGAAAATGGACTTTGGGTCAATGCCTGCCATTGCCAGAGGCGAGGAGACAGAAAGAACACAAGCACTGCAAACTCCGCCATCTCAGCTCAGAGAGGTAAAGGGACCACCCAGACTCACAAGCAGGGGGCAGGTGGGTCTATTCCAGGGCCATTGTTGTTTTGCTACATCATTCTACCTCGTGTGTGTGTGTGTGTGTGTGTGTGTGTGTGTGTGTGTGTGTGTGTGTGAGAGAGAGAGAGAGAGAGTTGCCAGAGAGAGAGAGAGTTGTCAGAGAGAGAGGGGTAACTAGAGAGAGAGAGAGAGGGAGAGAGAGAATGTTCTGTCGAGGGCATGAAGCAGAAGGGTTTTCCTAATCAGATTATCAGGCATACCAGAAACAGTGGCCCCCATCACTTTAGAATAACCCTTCAGAATTATCTTCTCTGTTTCCTTAACTGTAAATGAAACTAATGGATAGGGGCCAAGAAGCTGCTTCTATAAAAGGCTAGAGAGTAAATACATTAGGTTTCCATACAACGCTGTGGCAATTCCCCAGCCCTGCCCTTGAAGTGTGATCGCAGCTACAGTCAAGATATAGTCTAACACGTACCCCAGTATTCCTCTACATTTTTATTTACGGATCCTGGAATTGGAATTTTATGTCATTTTTATGTGTCACAAAATTTTGTTCACCTTTGGATCCGCCACTCCTGGCCCGCCAGTCATGGAAAGATGTGACCCGATCCCCGGCCCTTCCTGCTGTATAAATTGGGGCCGGTTGGAGTGGGCCCCCTGCCCCTTGTGCGCAGACCCCTGACTTAAGTAATGGGTTTCTGCCGCGACCAAACTGTCAGCGAGCGCGGCCAGGGCAGGCACCTCAGGGACCAGGGCGCTCAGCGGCATCCGACAGGACACCCGGTTGCCCCCCCCAAGTCCCCGCCGTGGCTGACTGGCTCTTGGCCCCTGGCTCCCATCCCGGAGCACCCTACTTACCCAGGGCCGCGCAGAGCAGCACGCAGACCGTGAGTCTCATGCTCCCTCGCGGATGCGCGTCCCGGACTGGCCCCTCCGGTCGCCCGCGGGGCTGCTGCTCAGACTGCTCCCGCGACATTGGCTGCTAGACCTCGCCACACCCTCCCCGCGGGCGGGCACAGCCCTGCAGCCACCCTTCCGCCACCGGGGCCCTCAGTGCTGGGGGCTTCGGGCTGGATCTCTGCTTGCGTGGCGGGGGGCCTAGGGGGTCGGCAGCCTGGAGGCAACAAACTCCCTTACCTGTCCACTCTAATGCACATAGAGAAACTGAGGCCCCAGGCGAGCGTGATCCTCCACCCCACCCCGGAACTCGGTTAGTGAACTGACCCTCGGCCCATTCATTATCTCAGCAAGAAACCTCAAACACTTCAGACTCCAAGAGTTTACCAGGCAGTCCACAGGGGGGATCCCAGGCGGGATGGGGGGCCTTCCCCCAGAAATACACCTGCATAGGCTTGACTGTCCCCTTGCAACCGTCTGCTCTTGGAAGTTGAGGCCTAGCCAGTAGCAAGACTCTCGGAAGTCTGGGGACTCTGCCCCTTCCTGCTGGCTGGAGGAAACCTTGTGAATGCCAATACCATCTGAAGAACGCCAAGGAGGCGGTTCAAACCCACCAGCCGCTCTGTTGGAGAAGGGTGAGGCTGCCTGCCTGCGTAAAGATGTCATCTTGGAAACCCTACGTAGGGTCGCTATGAGTCAGAAAGGGACCCCCGATTATCGTAGTGCATGCGTTCCGTGTGCAGTTTGAAACCACCAGCCTTTCCACGGGAGAAAAATGAGACTTTCTACTCCCATACAGAATTCGCCTGGAAAACCCACAGAGGCAGCTCTACCCTGTCCTACCACTGCGAGTTAGCATCGACTCCGCGGTCGTGAGCATGAATCAGAATCCACTCACTGGCTGTGGGTTTGGTTGGAGTATAATAAGTAGACATAACGATGCACTCCCGAAGTGGATGCACGTTCCTCTGGGGTCACCAGCACCTGTGTTACAAACAGAAGGTCAGGGAGCAGAGGAGGCCCAGGCACAGTTGTAGTATCTCCAGGGATATGCAGGGAGGGGATGGGGGTGGTGGGGGTGAGGGTGGTTGTGAACAATTGATAGAACGTAGTATGACTGTCAAAAAATTTTGGTGCAGTGTTTCAGCAGAAATTTATTATTTTCAATAAAATTATTCCTGTAGTTGGCCATGTCATAGAGGGAAAACTACATGCCTGTAAACACACACAACAACAACTAAAAGGACTTATGAACTTGAGTTGGCCTGGGCTGGGATGTTTTCCTGATATACAATTACTTCATGATATAAAGCTCATTCTTTCCTTTTTTGATCATTTTATTGGGGGCTTATACAACTCTTATCACAATCCATACAGACAGCAATTGTATAAAGCACATTTGTACATTTGTTACCCTCATCATTCTCAAAACATTTACTCTCCACATAAGCCCCTGGCATCAGCTCCTCATTTTCCCCCTCCCTCCCCATACCACCTCCCTAATAAAGCCTTGATAATTTATAAATGATTATTTTGTCATATCTTACACTGTCCCACGTCTCCCTTCACCCACTTTTCTGGTGTCCGTCTCCCAGGGAGGAGGT